CTGAATCACAAAGACTCTGACCACATCAAAGGGTTAGTCTATCAATGAATTCAAATTTGATTTGAAGCCTATGGAAACTTAAGAGTCAGGACCTCATTGAAGGGAATGGGTCCTGCAGGGCATACCCTTGGGGACTGTCTTTCTGTGAGCCACATCCTGTTGCTCTCTCTGCTCATGGCTACCATACAGTGAGCAACTGTGCTCAAATCCACGCTCCCCACCATGTGACTCTGCTTCGCGACAGACTCAGAAACAGCAGAGTCAAGTGACCGTGAATTGTGTCCTCCGAAACCTTCAACCAAAATAAATCTTTCTCCTTTTAAATTATTTTTCCTAGTTATATTGGCAAAGTAATGGAAATCTGGGGAACACACTTAGACAAGTGAGAAGAAGTCATTTAAAAATATTTTTTACAATGTAAGCCCCATGCGTTAGGCTATAACAGAAGATAGGGAGTAGTACAATGATTCCTACAATGTAGGTCTGAGAAGCAATTCACATTCAGATGTCACGGTGATCACACAGTGGCATTTCAACAGTCAGCAGCATCATGTTAAGGAAGAAGGGGGTCCAGAGAGTGAGTGCACAAGTCACTGAGCATGGACTCTGCCTGTCTTACCAAGGAGTAGAAGACTTGATTCTCTAACACCAGAAGACATCTGGAGCTTTTCCAGGCAATGTCTTTGGATTGCTGAGGACTGATCTATGCTTTAACATGGGATAACAGAAAAAAGGAGACAGATTTAGAAACTGCAGTGACATCTATTTTACTGTCTGGTATTTGTGTAAGCATTTTTCCTTTTAACAATGCCATAATAATTATCAATACTACTGTGTTTACATTCTGATCAATGCTGAGAAGAAAACATTTTCTTAGAGTGGTTTGATAAGTATGTTCCTAGTGCTAGCATGAGACTTGAGTCTTGTTTCTTGGCTTTTGTCATGCTTCCATGCAATGCCACACATTTATCCCCTTTTATATTGTCAATGACGTTTCCCCCCAACTCCATCCCTCAGAGGTTGACTTGTGTAGTGTCTTAGTTATTTTCTCATCACTGGGACAAACTACCAAATTCTCACAATTTAAAAGAATTAACATGGGCTGGTGACATACCTTGGTGGTCTAAGCACCTTCCTGGCAAGCACAAGGACCTAGGTTTGATCTCCGGTACTGCATGCTGTGCTGGTCTTGGAAGCCCAGGCCTGCTGAGCCAGCCACTACAACCAGGCATAGTGGCACATGCCTGTAATCCTATCACTGGCTGCTGAGACAGGAGAATCACTATGAGTCAGAGCTGTATAGTGTAATCCTGTACCAAATAAATAAATAAAAGATTTTTAAAAAATAAAATAAACCTCTCTTAGATAAATGAGTAAATGCTTGCTGTTGGCTGGTGTCTCCAGTTCATGCTCAGCCAACTCCAAGGCAGAAACAGCATGGCAGAGCAGGATGGTGGAAGAAATCTGTTCACCCATGTGAGACACTGAGCAAAGAGAGAAGGGAGGAACTAGGGAGAAGAAAGTACCCAATAACCCAGCTCTCCACAGATGGTGTAGCACTTTTATAACCCAGTTACCTTCCAGATACCTGAGGCTTTCAGGATGTTTTATACCTGAACCACAATAACCTCTCCACAGATGGTGTGACCGGCACTGAGAAAAGACAAGACGGGGACTCCTTCTTTGTCTTTAGACTTCTTTATTCTCTGGCCTTCCTCCACCACCCCCTCTCCTAACCCCCCTTCTCATATCCCCCCACCCTGGACCTATCAGAGGGAGCCAAGTATATCGTCTGACACAGGCAATAGGCCAACAGCCAGTTGCCT